CGGCCAGCTGGTGACGAGAGGGGGAGGCATCCAAAGGGAGGAGAAGAGAGGATCGCTTGGTCCCTGGTGGAGGGCCATGGCTCTGATCTCCTCGTCCTGGCCCTTACAATCCGCCTCGCAAGAAGGGCGCTCCCATGCCCTGTGAAAAATCGTCAGGCTGGCCGCACCGAGGACTCAGCCCGTCCCTGCTGCATCCCCATATGTTCAGGGTGGCTCCTGCGGGGCACCTCCCCGTGAAGACCTGCACCAGAAGACGCCTGAGTTCCTTCGGGGCCTTCTTACCAGCACGCAGCCTACGCGGACCCAGGGTCCAGAGGCCCCTGCCGCGGATGAGGTGGAGTGGACGTAAGGTGGTGGTGGGTGCCGTCAGTGCCCACACAAATAGCTGTGTTGACGCTCTCCCAGCCAGCCTCCCCCATCCAAAGATGCACATCTGCCAGGGGTCCGGTGGATTTCCTAGCAAGGCCCCCGAATCAGGGGGGGCGCGAACATGGTCCCCGAGTAGTCCTGAAAGCCTGGGTCAGCTCACGCACAGTTACACCATTCCCTTGAAGCAAACGTGTCCCAGACGCGTGCCACCACTCCTTGCAGTACCGCTCGAGGGTGGACCCTGCCATTGCAAGATCTCGGTCTTGGATGCTATGACCATGCTACGTCAAAGGACCCACCGCTGATACCGAAGGCCTTCGCGCTGGCTCTCCTCAGATACCCTATCTCCTGCGGCGAATGCCCCGGGGCTTTTCCACCGCAAGTGGCCGACGATTGTATACCAGAGAAGAAGATCCTGACCTTCAAATGTCTTGGCTCTCTCATGGGCCATTCCTGCAGCAATGTTCCCCGATGTTCCCTCCTCCCTGCCTCCTCCTCCCTCCCTCCTCCCTTCCCTCCCCCCCTGGGGGGGCCTCGAGCCACTGCATGAGGCGCTCGGCTCGCGGGGCCCCGACATCTTCGGAGAGCATCTTCTGGAGCTTCTCCGCGTGCACGTCCGGGGAGTCCCCTTCGGCAGGTGAGGGGGGAGGGGGAGGAGGAGGAGGAGGAGGAGGAGGAGGAGGAGGAGGAGGAGGAGGAGGAGGAGGAGGAGGAGGAGGAGGAGGAGGAGGAGGAGGAGGAGGAAGGAGGGAGGAGGAGGAGGAGGGGAGGAGGTCAAGGAGGAGGAGGAGGAGAAGGAGGGGAAGGAGGACGAGGGGGAGGAGGAGGAGGAAAAGCAGGAGGAGGAAAGAAAGAGGAGGAGAAGGAGGAGGAGGAGGAGGAAGAGAAGGGAAGGAAAAGGAGGAGGAGGGGGAGGAGGAAGCGGAGGAGGAGAGGGAGGAGGAAGAAGAGGAGGAGGAGGAGGAGGAGGAGGAGGAGGAGGAGGAGGAGCGGGAGGAGGAGAGGGTGGAGGAGGGGGAGGAGTTGGAGGAGGAGTTCCAGGAGGGTAGGGGCAAAATGGTGCGAGGAGGACTGCCGTGAGCCCGCACAAGGGGGTGCAGGGGGCGACCATCCAGGAAGGCGAGGGCTTTCGTAGGGGGCATAAGCCTCCTCGGAAGGGCCCGGGGGCTTCTTGGCAGGAGGGGCACGGGGCACGTGTCCTGTGGTAAGCGGGCCCTGGAGCCTGAGCCTTTCCCTCAGGACGAATTTCTCATCCTGCGTCGTTTTCTGATCGTCCCGGGGCTCGTTTTCGGGCCCCGAGGACCCGAAAACGGCGAACAACCGCAGGAGAGAAGATGGAGGAGAGAGGGTGGAGGACAGAAGAGGAGCTCTCTCCACTTTTTCTTCGTCCTCACTCCTTCTTCCGCCTCCTGCTCGTCCTCCCTCCCCCTCCTCCTCCCCCTCCTCCTCCTCCTCCTCCTCCTCCTCCTCCTCTTCCTCCTCCTCCTCCTCCTCCTCCTTCTCCTCCTTGCCCTCCCCCTCCCGCCCAAGACCCGTTTCTCCTATGGCGAGCTTCTGCACCGACCTCTTCAAAGCCGGGTGGCGTCGCAGAAACCACCTTCAGCCCCCAACGGTTTCTTCGAGGGCCACCCGCCCCGCGCCATCCCCCCGTGCGCGCCGCCGAGAGGTGGAGAAGAAGCAGCAGCGCGAGGGGGACATTCCTCCTGCCTTCCTCATCCTCTTCCTGCATCTCCCTGCAAGAACGACAGGAGGAGGAGGAGGAGGAGGAGGAGGAGGAGGAGGAGGAGGAGGAGGAGGAGGAGGAGGAGGAGGAGAGGGAGTAGGAGGAGGAGGAGGAGGAGAGAGGAGGAGGAGGAGGAGGAGGAGGAGGAGATGATGATGATGATGACGCGCCTTGAAAGGTCGGTTCTCCCAAAACACAAACCTGAGAAGCCACCAATACGCCAAATGCGTACGGTAGAGAAAGAGGGAAGGCGGGCAAGAAGCGGGAGAGGAAGGGGCAGAACAAAGATGAATCCCAACCCAGGATTGAAACCCAAGATACTAAACGACATCATGAATGGAGACTGCCTGTCCAATACTGAAAGAAATCATGATTGAAACCCATGATACTGAAAGAAATCGTGAATGATTGAAACCCATCCTAAAATGAACCCATGATACTGAATGAATGAAAGAAATCCACCACCAGGGCCCTCTCGCTTTGAATAAAGGTGCGAGCAATGAGAAACGTAATGCAAGGTGATGGATTATGCTTAAATTGATCAAAATATCTTGAGTGACTTGAGTAACTCGAGTAACTTGAATAACTCTTGACGCCGAACTTGGGGGCATATGTTCCCACGACCAGAAGTAATTAAGAAGTGAAGAGAACTTTCTTTGAGTCCCTTGAAGCCCAAAATACATAAGTGGCAACCCATTCGAATAAATGTGGTGAAAGAAAGAAAGCATGACATTCAACTGAATGTCCCAAGCACGCAATGACCCAGAAGATACGGAGGCATACAAAGGAAACTGTAAAGCCGAGTGAGCCCAACCGTGAGAACCCACCCCAGGTGAATCAAGGCATATGAGGTAGTTGAATTCAAACATGTATGACGCGAGAGGGCTGTGAATGTTTATGGTTCGTATTTTGCCAACTACCGACGTTGAGGAACACGCAAAGGAGATTGAAGGAGAACTGAGAGACCTCCAAAAGCCGCAGGCCCATGCACCGCAGATGCCAAGAGGTTCAGACTGTGGGAGTCCCAGGAGAGGTCTTCACGGATACTTCCAACGCCACTTTTCTACAAAGAAGTCTCCGTCCCACCAGTAGTCAGACAGGTACCAAACCACTGGGTGGGGCCAGCCAGATTCAGGGTCGAACCACGTATCATAGTACTCCGTGTACCAGACTTTGGTGTAGACCTTTTCCTCTTCACAGTAGTTCCACATTCCACCTGAGCCGTGAGTCCACTTGAGACGCTTCCTGGCTGCTAGCTTGGCTGGGAGGCTGCGTTTGACCATCCCCTGAATTGTATATGGATGTTCCCAGCCGTTTTGGACAAGAGTTCCGTCAGGGTTTGAGGCGAAACGGCTACTGACCAACAGCCAGTTCTTTCCAAGGGATTCTCCGGACCCTTTCGTCAGGTCCCCTAACGTTTACATACAGTCTATTAAAGCCGCTGTCCCGACAAGCTTTGAAGAGCGGAATTTTGCACCAGTCATATGTGAGATGTGGACCACCAAGGTCCGAAGGTATAAGGAACCGAGCAGGCAACTTGACCGCCCTTTGGAATAGCAGCGTAGAGCAGTATGAGAGTGCTTCAAGGTCTTGTTTGGACAGGAAGCAGACTTGGCGTTTAGACCTGCAAAGCTTCCCCTGAAAGATAACGTGAGGGTCTGACGCCTTGGGAGGTAGCATACCGAAAGCTTGAGCCCGAGACTGCAGGGGAGCAACAGGAGGCAAAGGGCAAGAAAGGGCCCACCAGAGGCGGACAGAGGGAGGCGGGATTGTTGCGAAGCCACGGTGTCCCTGAGATCGCAGAGATCAGGCGGGTCCCAGATAGAATCGCACAAGTGACATCTCCTGGTGTCAGCCAATCCCGAAGGCGGGAGGCAAGGAGAGAGAGAGAGAACACAAAGAGGTCTTGAAACAGACCCAAATGTAAATTCCGTGGGGTGTCAAATACCCCCGCTCCATTAGTATTGGAGCCTGTTCTCTGAGGCTGCAATCAGATAAGATACCCATACCTCTGAGGATTCCGTCACATTAAATTTGTGCACTTGCATTCCGTGGAACATTGCCGCGGCAAGCTTCCGAGTGTGGGGAGCACATGGGCCACGAAAAAGGCGGCGGTCTTTCCCGGTCCTAGCGAAAGACCCATGTTGATCAGCAAACGTCAAAATGGACCGAATGGAGCAGATGATGGGAGAAATCCCCTGAATGATGTTCCAGAACCGATCAGGCTCAACATACCCCGCTCCCAACCCTAACTCCATCAAATCTCCGATGAGCTCTAACCACCGAGAAGTGTCGGGTTCCCTGTTCCACCGTTCTCGGACCATCCTCTGTACATCGGTGGCACGACCAGCGATTGATCGAAGCTCCTCAATGGACTTGGACGAAGCACTGGTAGGTTGTCTTCTTTGAAGATACCTGGCCATTTGGCCCCAAATGTTCCACCAGACGGTGTAAATGAAATTCCCAGGATCTGACCATCGATTGTCGTAGAACACGGCGCCCTTGTATGACATTGTCTTGATCTGTACAAAAGACATAGAGCGTACTGCAATTCCCACAATCCCAATAAGGTCTTTGCATGCCTTACTAGAGAAGAAGGCCTCAAAGAGATTCCATAGCTGCCTGAGAGGTATCTCGAATTCGCGTCCCCTCTCGTACATGTGGAGTGTGACACATCTCCGTGGGTTGTACGATCCTGAATTTAAAGGAACGATCTCGGAACTTTCGATTGCCAGTGCACGTGGGCAGGCGGATGCCCATGCCTCGAAGATACAGCACTGGAGCGACTTTGAATTCCATGGCCTGACAACCCTCTGAGGGGCAAGCATGAGAGTGTGTTCCCAGAAAACTTGAGAAGAGGTTGGGGCAGAACGTGCAAAGCTAATTGAACCAAAATGACTACAGAAAGCAGCCAAGCCAAACAGGCCAACCGAAAGACCAGGAACCGAGGGAAGGAGAGATAGAGAAAAGAGATGCACTTTATCAGGAATCGGGCGGCAGTCATCGTCCTGGCCAGCAAGGTGAGATTAACAATCCCAGGCCGAACCCATTTGTACTGAAGTGAAGAGGCAAACTGAACACCAAACTATCCCAAGAAAGAACTTGAAACATCGAGGACTTGGACAAAGGGTGAGCAACAACCCCACTTAACCCCGTCAGCCGAATAGAGAAGAATAAGATGCAGTCCCAGCTCCTGCAAGGTGACCTGGGGGCCTCATGCCCCGAGACACACATGATTCCAAGCATTCCCAGATTGAAACGAAAGCCATAATCTTGGCAAAGTGAAGAGGTTGACAACCCCATCCAAACCCGTTTTGAACTGAAGTGAAGAGCCAAACTAAGGGCGAAGCGGACCCAAGTTAAGAAACGTCCATCGAGGCTGTGGGCAAAGCAAGAAACGACTCCACTACTTTGGCCCTGACGGACATATTGAGAGCAGAGCTTAATTCATGCCTCAGAGGAAAGTCCTGGAGTCCCCGATTGAACCAGAGTTGAACCAAAAGAGAGATGAGGACCCGAAGGGAACTGCCTCAGTCACATCAGGAAACGGGGTTTGCAGAGCAAGTGGCACCTAACATTGGCACCGTCGTTGCCAGACTCCACCGTTATAAGATCTCCCACATCTTCATACATATCCTTGACGTAGAGGAGTGCCACAATACAGCTACCAGCGAAGATCTGAGATTTATCGTGTAGCCTCTCCTTCTTAGGGCAGACCTCAGGGCCAATGAACGCTTCTTTGGTATAAAACCGCGCGTTAAACAAGTGGATGTCCTTGGAGCGAAACGTGTTGAGCCCAAAGTGCCAGAGAATCTTCGTAACGTCCCTGGTAGTGAGAAAGCCATGCTCTCCCAGAACTGGGATACTGTCAGAAATCAGTGGGCCTTGATTATCGATAATGAAAGGTGTGAGCTCACGAACTGTGATGATTTGGAAGTGCTCCCCGACCTTGGCCTTGAAGGTGTTCAAGCCTGTAAGCTGGGGAACGAAAACCATAATGTAGCGCCTTGAACTGGCATGGTCTGTGCCGCCCTTTGGGGCGAAAATTGGGCATCCAGAATGATCGTACTCCAACTGGGACTTCAGCACTGGAGGGCCTAACTTGCTGATCCAGGGCTTCTTATCCTGTTCCCAGCTCTTTGGGGCAGGCTGCGACTTTCGGTCAGGCGAGTCGACTTCCGCTTCAGAGCCAGAGGATGAACTCCTGGAGCCTGGTGATTCCGAAGACGGTACTTCCCAAGTAGTGCCGCCCGCCGGTTTGACAGGTGTTTCCCCACGGTAGTCCTGCGTATCTGGTAGGGCATCATCCGAATCGGGCTTCGACCCCGACCCGCCGCCCTGCGGTTGTTTCTTGAACCCAATTGAGTACTGCATCTTCCTGGCAATCGGCGAACGGCTCCGAGAGGCAGAATCTCCCCTATGCACAGGTGCTGGGGGTGGCGTGGGGAGAATCCTTGCTTCGCGAGGGTCAGCACTGGAGGATGCCTTGGCTTTGAGACCCTGATTCTTGAACTCGACTGATCTTGCTTGGTCCTCCTTCTTCTGTTCGAGCTTCTTCTGCAACTTGACTTTCTTCTCATTCGAGGTAAGAATGGGCTTCGTTTCCATCTTGACCAGACGATTCCGAGCCCAACGATCTAAGGCGTGGCGGTCGAAGCCAAAGAAAAGGGGGATAGTCGGCTGAATCTGATTCCCAGTCCAATCCAGATCCTGAGAGTAACGGGTGTCCGTGGTGAGAGTAAAGGAGGGCCCCGCAGGGCGCAGTACGATAGCAAAGTGTGTCTGGTTGCACCAGACAGAGCCGATGGCTACTGAAGGCGAAGGTGAAGCGGTTGCCGAACCCAATCGAGCATTTCTTTAGCGAGGCCCAGACGAAACTTTTTGTCCCGAGAGCCCTGCGGAGAAAATAAGGTGGTCCAGGCATCCTTGTCATACCTGAAAACGTACCCCCTATGCGAGCGGGAGTGGGTACGGCTGCCACCAGAGTGGTCAAAGGAGCGATTCAGAATGACCCAATGCTTGCAATATTGAAACAGCCTCGACGAAAAATCTTCTGGATGTCTTTGCATGTGTGAAACCCAACTAATAGCAGAATCCAAATGGAAAATAGCCCATGAGACTTCTTTGAACCCCTTGGTTTTACGATTTCTGCGTAAACTGAATTGTTCGGGGGATTCCCCTGGGAGCCTTTTGAGTTTCAACATGATCCTGATACATTGATTCTGTGCCTTGGTAATCAAATCCGCCGTCGTCTTGCAGGGGACCCAGGCAGCACCTCTGGATCGTATAATCCCTCCCGCCATGCAGTTAAGTTTAGAGAGGCGTTTAGACATGGGGATATGCTCATTAATCAGGAACCTACTGTTAGCCCAAAAGGCCTTGTTGATCTGTGAAATACCCTGCTTGACATCTTCGTGACAGGAACCAGTGGCGGAGAGAATAGGGCCCAGCACCTTGGCCTCCGGTACTACAGACCAAGATTTCCCGAAGGGGTCTGACCACTTGTATCCTTGAAAGAAGTAGGGGTATGCCGGGAGGATTTCCCGATCGTCTTTGAGTTTGAGCCGATGTTCATTCCATAGCTCCGACTCTACCAGGGCAGTCAGAGTTGCAAGATCTTGTTCCGAGGAAGCCACCACAAAGATATTGTCTGACCAGCTGAGAAGAGCAATCCTGAAGTCAAATCCCAACTGCTCGCAGCGAATGGAAATTCCCAAAGAAGAATGGGTAATTTTCTCCAGTGTGGAGGCGAAACAATCTTCTACAGAAACGCGCGCCAGTATGCATGCCGTCCCAGCTCCTTGCATCAACCCACGGTCTCTTTGGATAATCCCAGTGTTTGAGTCCAAAAGTGAAATGGAAACTCGAGGGTTCCTGTGCAACCTGATGCAGCCCACCGCTAAGAAAAGAGGGACTCCCCGTCCCAATAAACTCCGTAAAACCAACCCATAACGAATCTGGTCATGGTGAGCTTTGATATCAGTAATCCCAACCATTCCTTTGTTAAAGTGATCTCGGCCATATTCTAAAATGTGGTAGACACTCGTGTGAAGTTCTTGTAATTGTCCACCTTTGCTTAGCCCAAAAATCAGGCCCTTGAGACCTTTGGACTCAGTGTATGAATCCAGAACTGGCAAAATGGCCCTCGCCACATATGCGTGCCCAATCTTGGCAATAGCAGGCTGAGGAATAACAACTCTAGTTTGAGAAGGGGTTCCAAAACCTTTGATCTTGTTACCCAGGTGGCCCCCGAATGTGACGTCGTTCCAGAATTCAGGGTTGCCTAAGCAGGCTTGTATACACCCCGTGAGCCTTTGGGACCAGCCCGAAACTTTTATAACCGCCGTGCAGGCAAACTCTGTGTCGATCTTTCGGGGGGCCTTGATGTCGTCCAGCGCGTCCTCTAGCAGGGAAGGGATGATAGGGTCGTCGTAGAAATTGAAAAAACCCAAAGATCGGAGCCAGGCGATGTCCTCCTGGCGCTCCAATTCTGAGAAGGAAGAGGAGAAGGAGGGGGAAGAGGAGGAAGAAGAGGAGGAGGAGGAGGAGGAAAAGGAGGAGGGGAAGGAGGAGGAGGAGGAGAAGGAGGAGGAGGAGGAGGTGGAGGAGGAGGAGGAGAAGGAGGGGGGGGGGGAAGGAAGAGGAGGAGGCGGAGAAAGGGGAGGAGGAAGAGGAGGAGGAGGAGGAGGAGAAAAGGAGGAGAGGGAGGAAGAGGAGGAGGAGGAGGAGGAGGAGGAGGAGGAGGAGGAGGAGGAGGAGGAGGAGAAGGGGGATGAGAAGGAGGAGGATGATGAGGAGGAGGAGGAGGAGGAAGAGGAAGAGGAGGAGGAGGAGCGAGCGAGCCGCAGGAGAGGCGTCCGAGTGACGAACACCCACCGCGTGTGAGACCTGAGAGCCACAGGGGTGGCGGAGGGCGGAAGCCTGGGAGAGGGTGGGGCGCCTCAGGAAAACCACACCCAAGAAAACCTCCCAGGCCCAAGCCCAAAAGAAACACTAGGGGGCAGGGTTCGGGCCAGAACGCACCGCTCCTGCCCCCCGCTGGCGGGGCTCCAGGCCACGGGTGATACGGTCGATCGCCGTGAGCTGGTTCGCCCTAGTCTTTGGATTCTCCGAGAAACCTTGGCACTGCGCCCGCAGCTTGCGGGCGGACCTGAAGGACTCGGACCCGTTGAAATTGCCACCGCACTTGCGGCAGCAATACACGGAATTGACACAGAAAACATCATGCCCCAATTCAGCGAATTCAGCAAGCACAGGTTGGGGTACGTGGGCCGAGCCGCTGGCAGCCGACACCTGCCCCAGCGGCTGAGGAGGGACCGCGGGAACCGAGGAGGCCTCCAAAGGCCGAGACGTGGACCCCAACATCCTATCGGCCGCCTCGATGGCCGCCGTGACCCTAGAATCCGAGACACTAAGCCACGCCTCAGAACTCCGCAAGAAGAAGTCCCCGGCCAGGCTCTGGACGAGAGGCGAGGGAGCACATACACGATCAGCTCCCGAACGAAGAGTCTGGAGGGTACTCGCACACCGAGCGACACGATTGCACCTTCGACACCGATACTCTGACGTCCTCTGGCAGAAGAGCAACTCGTGGTCCTGGGGCCTCTCGAAAACCACACGCTTGGGCACCTGGGCGAGCTCTGGGTCCTGCACCACGACAGGGTCAGCTCCCCACCTCCGAAACTGCACGACCTGGAAGGCCGCCCACGACACATAGTGCAGGACCTGCCTGTGTTGCTTCAGCCCAGCTGCCAGACTGTCAGCCAGTGTCTTTGACACCATATGCGAAGCGCTGCCACACTTCGCGAAGAAATCGGCCCAGGCATTGCCGACGTAGGCCTCCAGCTCGTCTGGCGTGGCCGACCCGATGATGTCCTCCAGCTTCCTGTGAGCTGGAGTCCACTGAAACCGCACTGGTGGCAGACGTGGATCGCGTGCTCTGGCAGCCGAAAAAATATCTCTCCAGACTCGGGCGTGCTTCGCTTTGCCAAACTCGAGCCTCTGGTCCCAGGACGCACCTTCTTCCACGAGCGATTTCAGATCAGAAATGAAAACCTCATGCCCAGGATGCCACTGAAGTCCCATCTTAATGGCATAGCGCTCAGCACGTCCTACTGTCTGCACGTAGTAGGGCAAAGGCCCATATACAGCTCTGGCGGGGAGCCACGTGACGGGGTCCAGCTGGCAGACCGACCACCCACACCTACGTACTTCAGGAATGCTGGCCGAGAACCCCGAACCGTCAGTATATGACGTGGGCCCCCAAGAGCCCGAGACATCTCCCCATACAAAAACCTCCTTGGAGACCGTGGTGTAGTGCGGTACAGGAACAGGCTCGGGAACCCCATAGATCAGGTATCTCTGGTCCCAGTCGGTGCACCCCAGCACCTGCCCAGACGCCTGAAGCATGTCACGAACCTCCTGAAACTGTTCTGGAAACTCATAATACTCCTGGTCGGGGTCCCCTTCGAGGAGCGGCGGGCAGTCGTAAAAGATATGACCCCAACAGGAGTCGATAGCCTTGCCGCAGGCCTGACATGGCCTAATGGGCCTCCCGTGCTTCATGTCCCGACGTGGTGGGATGGGAAGGTTGTCAGCCCACAAAGCCTGCAGCGCTCCGAGGCGCCTGTGACACTTTATCTTGGCGAGCGCGTGGCGAAGCGCACGATGCCACACCTCCGCCTGCTCGGTGCAAAAATGCTGCTGCAACCTATGGTGCTGCCAGCGCTGAATGCCTTGATGCAGGAACACTCGTAGGTCTGCTGGACATATACGATATAAATCAAAACTGTTTCCCAAATCGTCGACCAGGATGTGCTCTGACGACATAGTCCAGGATATGCGCCTCAAAGTAAGCCAAGTGGCCCCGAGGGGCCCACGCGCCTTGGCCCAGGAAGGTGAACTGTCGAACTTAGCACCCAGACGCACCCAAGCCTCCCGAAGTCTGCTAGGTTGCACACGTCCGTCCCAGATCCAGGAGGCGTATTTGAGCACAATATCCGTGGTGGCGTTATATATGGGGTCATAACACTCATCCCGATGAGATATGAGATACGCTGTTACCCCAACCATCGTCTTACCTGGAGCACCATTTAGGACTGCAGCACAATGTCGCAACTCGCGAAGAGCGCTGTCGCTAACTCCAGCAACTGCACCGCCATGCGCCACTGATGGAAGGGCGCCCGTGCGCCACAGGCTGGTAGCACTCCGCCCCACGGCGGACTTCAACATGCGAAAACGATGCTTGCGCTCTCGAAACTGCACCAACCTACGCTTCTCCATATGCCGAAGAACTCGAGGTCCTGTGAGCTCGTGTCCCAGATTCCTCATGTGGGCCCTGTACGGGATCTTCAAGGTTCCCAGGTGCCTCTTGAGCTGTCCCCAAACTTTTTGGTTCCCAGGGATACATCCAGACTTCGGCGGCTTCAGGACCATCCCAAGATCTCCAGCATCCGACGTAAACGCCTTGGCCGCACGGGCCAGGTTGGACACCTCCCTCAATACAGGCGACACGTACTGCAAACCCACATCGTCCATGAGCGTGCGTGGCGTGATAGAAGGTGCAATACTGGCCGTGCGCTGGACCGCTCGGTACGTGAGGAGGTAAAGAAGGTACGTGGCGTGCGTGCAGCCCGCAAGAATACCCTGATGGGCCACCAAGGGCCTAGATACAGACCCAAAACACTTGATCCTTCTCGGCTGACGGTAGGAGCCCAGGAGCAACCACAGGAGCCTCAGCGGGTACCCGAGCTCTCTAGCTTCTCGGAGAAGTGCACTGTGACTGACCATATCGAAGCACTTGGTCATGTCCAGGAGAATGGTGCATGTGTGCTCACCTAAAAGTTCTCCTATCTCCTGGCTCAGGTTGTGGTCGAAGGCTGAATCGGTCGAAGTCTGCCCAGCCCTTGACCCCCACATATGCTCGCACCTGTGTGTCTCTTGCCACTCCGCCGAAAGCGGCCGACGTAGCTTTCCCCACAACCTGACGAAAGTATTGCTGAGGACGATCAACCTAGTGTCCCCGTCAGGCTTGGGCAGGCGAACAAGCTCGCTGTAGAGCCTGTCCGTGGGCCAGGCCAGCCAACTCTCAAACAGCATGAACATATCGGCCAGGCTCTGCAAGGCCTGGTCGGACAGCACATCGAGCGTGCGTGGCGCGATCCTCGTCTGGCCCGAGGCCGTCTTCAACGGAAAACTCCCGATGGCTCCACGCACCTGCGATGCAGTCAAAGGCGGAAGCAACGGCCACTGAGCGTGATCGACAGGCAGCGGCAAAGAACACGCCCCGTGGTAGGTCCAAACGTCCTTCCACTTGTCGAGCGTGCGGTCAGCCATCTGATATGGCTGAGCGTCGTGGGAGTAGGCAAGCACCTCCTGTCGAGCCCGAACCTTGGAGGACGAATGTGCCCGAGATGCTCCTCCCAGGAAGGCTTCTTTGGCCCACTGCCTCCAGGCCCTCTCTGCCGCTCTTTGTGCCGTTCTCAAATGATGGTCAGCTGCGGCAATGATGGTCTTGGCTACGTCCTCAAAGTCAGCCTCGACCAAGCCGATCAGCCCTCGCCGAAAGAAGCCTGCGAAGGCAGCATCCAAGACACACAGCACATGCTCTGACCGAGCCGCGCGTCTATAAAAGGCAGCCACCTCGTTGAAAGCCACTACGACCTTAGTGTACTGCAGCGGCGTGATGTCACATACGGCAGCACAAAGCTTGAGGCGCTCGATGTACCTCACCAGCCGCTTCTTCTCAGCCACAAGGTGCTGGGCCCATCGCTTCGCCGTGGCCCAGGCCAGCACGGTCGGCTCCTTGTAGGTACGCCTGCGTGGCGGCTGCCATGACAAGTGCTGCCACTTGAACTGCGGCGGCCCCTCGCGTCCGATGTACTGCATGGCCTTAGCACCCACACAGTCGTAGCGCCCTGCCAGCTCGTAGTCCACCCCTCGCAACACGGAGTCCCAGAGCGGGCTCAGGTCGTCAGTACAGCTGACCCGTTGGAACTCTGTCCGAAGCCTGCGCCACGGGTAGGGATATCTAGCACAGCCAACTGGCGGCACCACCGCAAAGGGACGTGGCTCCACAGGGACACGGCACCACGTGGGGCGATCCTCGCCCATGAGCTGCAGCTCCACAGGAAAATGCGGCGGCGGCACGCCCGTGGAGTCATACTGAACCTCTGGCTTGCCCTTGATGCGAGACGCTAAATTGGCACAGACGACGAAATAGTCTATGGTGCTCTTGCCTTCATCGGTGATGCAGGTGTGCTGGTCGGGCACGTAGTGGACGGCTGCCATGGTCTCGACCCAGTTGCGAACATTGAGCGCATCGATGTCGGAATTCCAGTCGCCACCTAGGATCCAGTCGAGGCCCCGTGAGTTCCATGCCGCCACTCTCTGTGCCAAGGCCCACAGCACTTCAATGTTCTCGCCCGATATGCCAATAGACGTGGCGAGATACACACTGGCGACTATGATGCCGCCTGCCACTCCCCAGTTAATCTGTGCACAGACTGCTCGTCCTGGGTAAATAATGTGCCCATCATCAGGTGGGGCTGTGACCATGATGTATGTCGGCACAAGTACAGCGACCCCTCCGAAGTTGGACGTAGCTGAGTCCCCCGTAGAGGGCGAAGGGGCCCATAGCCCATGCCATCCAGCATCCAAGGCCCTGGCCTGAAACTCGCCAAGCCTGGAGTCGGTAATCCTCAACTCTTGTGCCAGCAAGATAGTACCACGATAGGTAGCCAAAAAGTCAAAAAGAGGGCCGTAGCTCGTAGCATTCACCGTTGTGATGAGGCCCTTGAGCTGCGGCTGGGATACTGCATGCGTTGGCTGCACCTTCGCCTCCGTGCTCCCTGGCGGCGAAGGCGAGGTAGGTGCAGCGCGTTCTTGACTTGATTTCTCGAAGCGTAATCGGGAAGAAGGTGGGGACGAAGATGGCGCTTCATGAAATGCGCCTTCACACAGATCTGCTTCCATGTCAGGCTCAACGTCCTCAAAGAAGTCATGATCGCCATCCAAAGTAGTGCACACTGGGCCGCTCTGGCCCGGTGGGGCCCCTGGCAGTCGGCACCCTCTGCCGCCTGGATTCTCCGAGGGCAAGGGCGGTGAGCAGTGCGTGCCGCCCGAGGACGGTCGGTACCCTCTGCCGCCAATCCCCGAAGACGGGGTCGGTGAGCAGTGCGTGCTGCCAGGGGCCAGCCGCGTAGGCGTAGACGGAGTAGCCCTCTGTGATGCCGTAGTCGCCCTGGACGGAGCTGCAGGCTCAACCGAAGTAGGCGAGGCCACCGTCAGGGTCGGAGCTGTCCCCCACCCCGAGGAGCGGGCCAGTGGGGGGGATAATGCAGGCGCCGTAGTGCCAGGCGAGGTCATGGAACTGGACGCCGATGTGGGCAGGGGGGTGTGACTATGAGGGGCTGAATCCCTCCCCCCCCTGCCCAGAATGCTGGCCGCCGTCGAAGATGACTGAGGCGGACTCTCGACATGTTGCGCTGATGTGGAGCTAACCATGGTGACAAAAAGCCAAAGCAACAGCATATCAAGCCGAGCACATTCACGCCGACGTCTTGGCCTTCTTGGCCACAGTGTCCAAGTAGCTCTGCTGAAAGCGCTTGAACTTCTCACGCACGATGTCAGGGGTGTCGCTCTCCTCGACTTGGACCCCTGCTGCACCCAGCGTCTCACGGTACTCCTGTTCGGACATCTCGATGTCAGGTGGCTCAGCGCAAGACTCATCACCATCCTCATCATCGGGGGCAGGTGCGGGTTCAGGCGGCTTGGCCTGCGGCATATTCTGCAGCTTGCTGACCGTGTTGGCCATAGCTTGCAGCTCCTTGACCATGTCGGCGCCAAGGCCGAGGCCCGATGCAACCTTGCCCAGCTGCTCCACGCTGACCGCAAAGGTGGGCAGCAAGTCCGCCAACGTCGGCGGCTGGGTGCCCTCGGGCGGCTGGACTCGCGACATGGCGGCGCGAGTCTGCTGCTCGAGGCGGAGGACCTCCGCAGCCGCCTCCTGCAACTTGGAGTCTGTGTCGGCCAGGCCTCGGGTGAGCTCGTCAATCTTCCGCTGCTGCTCGTCGCGAGTGGCCTGGATGGTAGCCTGTCGCGCACGGGCGGAGGACAGTCGTGACGCCAATGACCTGGCCTGATGCTCAATGGGCCTATCTTGAAAGAGCTCAGCATCCAACCTAGCTCGCTCCTCACGCCATTTGGCCACAATATCAGCATCAGCAGGGTCAGTAGTGACCCGAAGCAGCTGGTCCAGCATCTTGATACGGCTCCTCTTGACGGTGTCGGCATCCCCAGGCGCGGCAGCCCAAGGAGGGCTCGCGCCTGCACCCGTAGCCGTTGGCCCTTGCCCAGGGGGATGCTCTCGGAGCTTGGCAAGCTGCGCCTCGAGCTCCTTGACCTTGGCCGCGAGCGACTGCTGCTTGGCCGAGACGCTGGGCTGCGACGCTGCTTTGTTCTCCTGGAAACAGTTGCTCTTGTGCAGGCCGCACTTCTTGCAGTACACAAGGGTGGAGGCGTTGAACCACGGCTGATTCGTGACGTCATGCCTGCACCACTTGCAATACCATGGCGAAGCGTTCTCCTTGCGCGTCGGGGCCATGGCGGCGTCGACTTCGCAGAGACAAGCGGCGAGAGCCACGGCCCTGAGGGCAGCCTGGCCGTGGCGACAAAACTGATGAGGGAGCCCAACCCCTCGGTGAAGGCGAAAAGCTGTCGAGCGCAAGCGCTCTGGCACTGCCGCGGACTAGCGGTATCCGAGAATGCCAATACGGGCTCAGCCCGCAAAAGCATGAGCCTTGAGCCAAAATGGCTACGGAAGAGGAGGAGGAGGAGGAGGAGGAGGAGGAGGAGGAGGAACAGAACGAGGAGGAGGAGGAGGAGGAGGAGGAGAAGGAGGAGGAGGATGTTGGAGGGTCGTCGAGAGCCGTCCGGGGGCCGCCTTGGATCGTCCCGTCCTGGCGCTGCATGCTCCCGTCCTGGCGCTACACGCTCCCGCCCTGGCGCTGCACGCGCGCTTAGTGACCGGCCGCCGACCGACCAATGGGGGGGGTCAATTTCGTTACCCGCACCACCCGTGCGGAGTGGCGGGCCGTCGACCTTGTCACGGAATACCCCCCCTCCGCCTGTCTTTATTCGACCGCCGGTCGAATGCTGGAGGGTCGTCGAGAGCCGTCCGGGGGCCGCCTTGGATCGTCCCGTCCTGGCGCTGCACGTTCCCGTCCTGGCGCTGCACGCTCCCGTCCTGGAGCTGCGCGCTCCGCGCTTAGTGACCAGCCGCCGACCGACCACTGGGGGGGGGCAATTTCGTTAACAGCGCCCCCCGTGCTGATCACAGGACCAGGCGCGAAGATAGACAGGTGGGTGGGGATGGGAGGGGACATTCGTTGAATTGCCATTATCTAACTAGGTTTGGGGGGCGGTGGCCAGGATTTTATTGCATCCCGACCAGCGCCGGTTGGCTCGGGCCTGGGCCTGCCATCCCTGGGCGGGGCGGGGGACGCCCGCCTAGCATGCGCGGCGCGATGCATGTCCAG